ATGAATACAAAATAATAAAAAACTATAATAAATATAAGAATATATTGTGGAATGAATATAATTTTAAAAAGGTAAAAATTCTAGAGAAAAAAAACAAAATTTAAATTTTATTTGAAAATATAACTGATGAGAAAATTAAGGATGCTTGCCTTTTTTTGAAATATTCTCCCCCTTAATTTTCTCTTTTTTGTTATTAAATAATTATATTCTTTAAATAAAAATAAATAATAAAAACATACATAACAAACTAAAATGACATTTTTACTAAATATTGAAGTTGTTGCTAATGAGTCCTCTTAAATGCTAAAATATTGACATTTTGAAAAATTTTCCTTAAATTAATTCGGATTTTGGTTAGAGAGGAAAAGGAGGGAAACAAAGGTTGGGCCTGGGAATTAAAGTGGGCTGCTGAAAATTTGAATAACGTGGGCCGAGTTTTAAGGTAAGTGGGCTCGCTTTTGAAGAAAAGGCCCAAAATTGAATTAAGTTGGAAATTTAAGATGGGTTAGATTTAATAAATAGCCAAATTGAGTTAAGATAATGAATTCGGCCAAACTTTAAATAAACGAATTAGTATTAATTAATCAGCGAGCTTCATTATTTTAGTAGTATAATTATTTTAATTGTAAAATATAACTATAATTTAAACTAAATTAGTTTAATAGAATACTTTACTAAAAAAAGTTAAAACATTTTGAGAAATAATCGTAAAATATACCAATTATATACATAATCATGTAAAGTATATATGTTATCTAAAATTATAAGAAAGTGGCAAAAGTATCCAAAATAATGCAAAATTCATATATTATTATTATTTTGCCGCTAAATTTATAAAACTAATTATTTTAAATTGTTTGAAAATTTACGAAGCTCGAGAATTAATTTATACCGAGGAGGGTCGAAATTGGGTGTCAACATGTAGAATGTTTCCATGTTGATCACTAGTTAATTGAGGAGCCCTTGGCAGATCCTTAGGAAATGAATGATCTAAGTCATTATCTCTTATACCTGATTGCATGTGTTGTGAAGTATCAACCTGAACATGATTAGCATTATTTTCTATTCCTTTCTTCTTAAACTTCTAGTCGGGGTGGGGGGGGGGTAACTATGAAGTCGAAAACAATTATTCTCCACATGACCTTGCAGATGACAAAAATCACAAATCTTATCCCAATTCTTCTTGCCTCTATTAAAATGTTGTGTAGATGACAGTGTCTGTGAGGTTGAACCCTTAGAGTATTGTTGTGACTGTGATTGGGTGGTCCCTCTTGCATATTAATTAGGCATCCTTTTGCCTGCCATGAAAGCAGCCAAATTTGTATCCTCACCACTCATCGAGGATGATAGAGATCTTTGACTTTCCCTTTCAATAAGCATTGCATATGCTTTATTGATCGTAGGAGTAGGTTCAACAATGAGAACTTGACCGCGTGACTGATCATAATTCTCATTCAATCCCATCAAAAATTGCACCAATTTATGTTTCTCTAGATGCATTGTAAAATTCTTAGAAGTAGGACAATTACAGGAAGGTGGTATAATACTTGCAAATTCATCCAACAAATTCTTCAATTTGGAGAAACAAGTAGAAATGCAGTCAGTACCTTGAATAGTAGTAGCGATAGCATTATATAACTGGTAAATCCTTGAAGCATATTCACCTTATCAAAACGCTCCCTGAGATCTTTCCAAACTGCTTTCGCACTTGTTGCATAAATGACACATTTGTGCAATTTCGGAGTAACAGAACTAATGATCCACCCTTGAACAATGGCATTATATCGATCTCATTGATGCCCTAACTCTGTTCCGAAATCCTCCCTATTCAAGCTGCCATCGACAATCCCCAACTTGTTCTTTCCAAGCAATTGAATACGCATTGCCCTACTCCAAATTGAGTAACTATCAGATCCAATTAGTTGTATAGGAATGATAGATGCACCAGTATTGTTTGAAGGATGCAAAAACAAAGCATGATTGTGATCAAACTTAGGAGCCGCCATTGATGAGGCTCAATAAGCTTGAGAATGCACCAAAAAATTCAATAGACCTCACAAATGTAGGTGTGTAGCTCAGAGACCATGTTGATTAAGAACAATTCTAACATACCATTGATGAATTAATCAGAGATGCATTTTAGAGAAGAAGAAGAAGAATAAGAGAAGAGTATTATTTCTAATGATTATCTTTTATAATAGAACAATGCATTAATAATATGCACATTAACCAGCTAACAGTCAAGATAACAACTTTCAACTAACTTTTCTATTTACTTAACTACCCTTATCTCCTATCACATTACTTTTGTCCCTTTTTAACCCCTAATCCGTAATCTTGGACTCTTAAGTTCTTTGGTAGCCTAATACAGTCATATTTCATCACTACTTATGATATAATTCCTCTTCTTCCTTTCCTCAAGATTCAAAAAAGTCTTCGATAAATACTATTTATAGGTGAAAGAATTATTCTTGAAATAAACTAAAAAGGTGAGCTAATACGTTATAATGAGTAGTGAATGAGATTGCCCCTTCCTTAGCTAATAGTCTCGGGTTTGAGTGGTGGGTATAAAAAAATCATAGATAGGAAGTGGTTCTCTCTGATTAGAGTTCTATATGATGTGAATTCTAATATAATTGAACTTTAATATGGATATCAAACATTAGATGAGAAATCAAAAAAATATATAAAGAACATACGAGGAATAAGAAACACTTTATAGATCATGAAACAAGATGAAAAGGAGATCTTATGGAAGTTGTGGTTATTTCTCCAGCTATAATAGCTACGATAATACAATCTCCCAAACCTAGCTCTCAATTTCTATAACTTTGTTGCTCTTAGGAAAATTTCCAGAAGTTTAGCTCAACCATTATATGTTGATGAGTACACACAAGTGACCAGGATGTAAGTGCCAATGTTACAGAAAATGTTAGAGGAAGAATTTGGGTGGTTTGAATCCTAATATAGTCAAATTCACAAGTGTGGAAATATCAACACAACAAATACTGGCCAGGTAGGTATCACTACAACAAAAATGACCATTAGCGGTATTTAATTCTTAATTGCCGCTAGATATGTATTTTTAGCAGAAATTTTCACTCTTTGTATATGTCCCTAAAGCCTTTAGCGACATTGGTTCTAATGACACTTAACTAATGCCGGTAAAGATTTTAGCACTCTTTATTAGTGTCAATATTTAATGCCGCTAAAATTTATTTTTGTTGTAGTGTATGCAACAAAGTGGTACACAAATTAAGTTTATAACAGTGCATGGTGTACACTCAATACCTACCAGGACTTTGTTATGGACAACATTACAACTATTGAGCATACATATTACTGAGTCGTGACTAATAATGGATATTTTAACTCCATCTTGATACCAAATGATACACCTAGATCACTCTCCTATAAGTATAATAAAGTAGAGGAGCAAAGAAATTCAAGGAAGAAATTATTTAAACTTTATAGTTGTCTAGCTCAACATTCAGAATTTTGGAATAAGATACAACAAGGCTGACAAATCCAAGGTGGATGAATGAGAGGCGTGTGACAAAATATGAAAGTTGTGGGGAGAGAATTACAACAGTAAGACTAGGGGTGTCAAATGGGCGGGTTGAGCTGAGATCAAAAATATTAAAATGGGTTGAGATAGAAGTCGAGTTTGGTATTGACCCGCCCAAGTTTATTTTGGGCTCAAATGGGCTTAAAAATGAGTTGGGTCTTGATCCGCCCAATTTGACCCGATTAATCTCACTAATTTAACATATTTGTATTTAACTTATATAATCACAACTTGAATTTTAGCTCGAAATTATTTTTTTAAAAAAGAGTAAAAAAATGGATATATAAACCCTAAAAGATGCTAAATAGATAATGATTTATACAAAATATAGAAATATATCTTAATAAAAATTTTAAAACGGGTTGAAATTGGAGATTGAATTGAGCTCAATTGAGGATTCTCTTCAAATGGGTTATGCTTGAATGGATTGAGATTGAATTCAATTCAAATTATTTTGAGCCCAACCCTTAAAATTCTGGGCAGGTTATCTATGTTTATGTTCACATTTGACACCCCTAAATAAAACCAAAAGGATTATGTATTGGTGATTAACTAGTACAGCAACTCACAAGAGACCTTGTGTCTAATTAGCAGAGTCAAAAGAGAAATATCCATATGCCTTAGTATATATTTGATGAAGAGAGGGAGGTAAGGACACAACTAACCAAATGGAGCTTGATTTAAGAGTCAATATATATAAGTATAAATATCAAATACAATGGCTCAAACTAGGTGACTTAAATACAACATATTTTTTTAACAGTATGTAAGGTAGTAAGCCCAGAATAGAATCACTATTGTCACGAACTTAGAGTATTTGCTAAGACTCTGTGCGACACTTGACAACTTACTCACGAGTCTTGCACGATCTTGTAAGCTCAACTAAGCGCTTTTATACTAAGATCGCTAAGAGAATAAAATGAAGACTTAGAGAATTTTAGAAGAAGGCTTACATTGCTTGAAAGATTGCTTACAACTTTGCTTTGTTGATTTACAAATGAGAGTCCCCCCTATTTATATGACTACCTAGGAGATAAATTGTAAATAAAAATTACTTTACAAGTCCTTCTAATAATTACACTTCGGTCCCTATTCTAGAAAAGTCTACACTTTCTAGAATATGCTAAACTTTTCCAAGAAATATCTAAATTATTGTAGAGAATTCTAAGGAATTCTCTAGCCTTCTTGATAGAGGCGAAAGGGTCTAGAGTTGTGTGAGGGCATTGATCAAGTTAATGGACTATTGTTTGCGCGTACGAGAAGACAAGACTCAGTTACCAATGAAGTGACGATGCGATGCGGTCGTCACATCAATAGATGGGGGAGAGTGTCACGTCTCACCAAATCATAGTTAAATTTTGCATGTGGATAGAGGCGAAAGGGTCTAGAGTTGTGGAAAGGAATTCGCAAACCTCTCCACAACTCTAGACCCTTTCGCCTCTATCCAGATGCAAAATTTAACTATGATTTGGCGAGACGTGACACTCTCCCCCATCTATTGATGCGACGACCGCATCGCATCGTCACTTCATCGGCAACTGAGTCTTGTCTTCTCGTACGCACAACCAATAGTACATTAAATCGATCAATGCCCTCACACAACTCTTTCAATTACTACTTTATCTCTTCTTACTCGGCTTCACAATCTACCTCTTTCCTAGTAGGCAAGCGCCTCGGTGGCTTTTTTGGCATCACGACATTGTTCCTTCTTGGAAGATTCTTCATTCTTGATGGTAAGGACTTCTTAGCACCATTGTCTTCTTTCAAACTTGTAATGATGGCTAAAAATGTTGACTTCTCCTTCTTAGGATTTTTCTTGAGCTGCATGTCCGTTAGTCAAACCTGCCCTTCTGCCTTCGGTGCCTTAACCATGGTAACCACTCATGTTTTTCCTTTCTCCATGACAACAAGTCGTTGGAGGTAAGGATCGAGCACCATGTGGCACTCCTAGAAGAACTCCTGCCCATGAATTATATCAAAGAGATCTAAAGGAGCGACAGTGAAGTTGGTTTTACCTTGCCACTCGCCTATCATGATGCTTACTCCATGCGCGACTCCACTCACGGGAGTCGGTGGTGCATTGACCGTTGGGCATAACTTGGACTGTAATGCATCCCCAACCTTGTCGCTGCCGTCTTGGTCATGATATTGACCTCTGCACCTATGTCGACCATAGCATGAGCGAGTCTTCCATTGGTCGTGATGTCGACATACTGCGTGTTGCATACTCTCGGCTTCCCTGGTTGCTTGGTGATAGCTCCGCAAAGTCTTATTAATCCCAACTGCGTCGTCTCCACGCCTTGTTCTTGCTCATGTGCTTCCTTCTCTTTCCGTTCTCACATGGTAGCACTAAGGCTCTTTAGTTCAGGACATCTTGTGTAGCCATGCGATCCATCACATATGCCTTGTTATACGTATCATGCTTCTTAGGATGTGGCCGCTGCTCCTCGTCTTTGCCACGATCTCCCCCACCATGGTCATGACTACCTCTCATCTCATCTCATCTCCTTTAGCTCTGTCGGGCTTTTTGTGCCTGAAGTCTGTCAAAGCTTCGGTTTGCGTGATGGCTTCATCAATAGTCCTGATCTGTCGGCGTTCCAACTCCGTCCTGGCCCAACTTTGCATCCAATTCATGAAGTAGAACAACATATATTTATCTGTGGGGTTGGGGATCTGAAGTGTGAGGGTAGTGAACTCCTGCACATATGTGCGTATGCTGCCCGTTTGCTTCAGTTCCCTAAACTTGCTCTTCGCCTCAATGATGATGTTGCTATGGAAAAAGGCTTTCTTGAACTCATCACAAAATTTCTCCCATGTGTTGATGGTACAACGCCCCTTCCCTATTTCTGACTCTTTACGCTCCACCATAGCATGGCCCTCTACGAAAGATACAACACGGCAGTGTTGATCTTGTTTTCGTCGCTTCTCACCCGACTACACTTGAAGTAATTCTCTAAGTACTATAGAAAGTTTTCCACCTCTTGCACATCACGGACGCCTTTGAACATATATGGCTTAGAAACCTCGACCTTGGCCTCCCTATCACGGTCAGGTGATGCAGATCCTCCAACCTCCACGCCTTCCTTGAGTGCTTTCACTTCGGCCTTCAGTGTCTCGATCGTGCTAAGCGCTTCCGTGAGCTGACGCTCCAAGGAAGTAATGGTATCCTTCGTTTTTATCACATCCAAAAGCCGACACTCCAAGGAAGTGATGGCCTCCTTCATCTCGAACTCAGCCCGCTAGCGACCTTCCAACTCCTTACGGATGTTCTCGGTCTCCTCAAAGGTGAAGTCCTCAAGGATCTTGAACTTGCTGTCTGCCACGTTCATGCGCCGACCTAATATCTCGACGACTTGTCTTGACACTTCCACCCTTGCGACCCATTCTTCTCCAGTGGTGATGTCTATGGTATCTTCGGCCATGTCTTCATCAGTTGCC